CCCCCCCCCCCCCCCCCTCCCCCAGGGGTGCAGGCGCTGCTGCGGAAGCTGCAATCCCTCGTGGAGGTGCCAGGGCGGCTACGGCGGTGGGCAACACCAGGAGCTGATCCTGCACGGGCCCTGCACTGCTACGCCCGTGCCCGTGCTGTGCTGCGCCACTACCGCCACCTGCCTTCCTTCCGTGCCATCGAGGATGAGAGCCACGCCATCATGGCTGAGCTGGCCCAGCGCCTCCGTGCACACCTCCGGTATGTTCGCTGTGGAACCGACTGACAACAGCTCCAGGAAATGTTGTGGGTGTTGTTTTGTTTTTTTTAATGTGTTCACTCTGGAACCTACTGATGACAGCTCTGGGAAATAGATGTTCTTGGGGAGTATTCACTCTGGAAGCTAAAAATTCCAGGAACCATACATGTTGCAGAATATTCATGGAATACAGGGCTAATTCTGAAGAGTACTGAGAACTTTTTTTCAAAATTATGGTGTATGTATTTTTTTCTCATGTGTTTGTGGTATAGAGCTAACTCAGGAAACTCCCTAACAGTCACAGTTTCTTTTTTACTACTCTTCTAGTTATTGTGAATACTGGAATAATGATTTTAATTACTATTACCGCTGTTAGCTCTGGAATATACTGATGATATTAAGTAATTTTTTCTTCTTTGCTATTCAGTAATTATCGTTAACCCTGAAGCCTACTGATGACCTTGATTGCTTTTCCTTCTTTTTTGCTGCGCCACCATTAACCCTGAAACCTCCTACCACTCCCAGCTAACCCCTTCATCCCTTCCCTCCCTCCAGGGATGACACCTTGGACCCGAAGGAACTCACTGAGTGTGTGGAGATGCTGCTGCAGCTGGAGGAACCACCCGAGGAGCTGTGCGAGGAGTTCCTGAGCCAGGCTGGTGCCCGCCTTGAGGCTGAGCTGGCGGCGCTGGAGGCTGAGCTGCCCCCATCTGACCCCTCTGGCACTGCTTCCACACCACCTCCCGCCACCGACATCCTTGACTTTGTTGACCGCGGCAGCTCAGCCTTTGTGAGCAACCTGTGCCTCCTTGCAGCTTCATACCGCAGCCTCTTTGAGGGGCACCCTGGGGCTGGGGATGGCCGCCTGGAGGCCTTTGCCTCCACCCTCACCACCCGCTACTTCGAGCTGCTGGAGCGACGCCTGGCCCTGGAGCGAGGTCTGGGTGACACGTCACTGTTGGTGCGGGCACTCGACCGTTTCCATCGCCGCCTCCGTGCTCTCCTGGAGCTGCTGCCCGCAGCCGGGGCTGAAGCAGGTGCTGCACTGGTGGCCCGAGCAGCGCGTGAACGGGTGGCCCGCTACCTGCGGGCACTGCAGACCTTCTTTCTGGGGTGCCTGGGTGATGTGCGCCAGGCGCTGGCTGCACCCCGACCTCCTGGTAAGGATGGCCCTGGACTGCCTGACCTCTTGGCCACGCTCTCTTCCTCCGTTCTTGGTCAGCTCAAGGCCGTCCTGGCCTATGTGCAGCTCTTCACTGCCAGGGATGTTGCATTTGCCAGCCTGCCCTACTTCAAGGTGAGCTTGGGGGCAGTGAGAGGGTCACAGGGATGATTTGGGGGTGGTTAGGGGATTGCATGGGGCAGGTTCTGCGTTGCAGAGGGCAGATTTGGCTTCATTGGAGCTCTTCAAAGGTCAATGGGGCTTGTACAGGATGGATTTGAGGTTGCAGAGCTCATACTGGGGGACAGTAGGGAAGTGTGTGAGGAACTGTTAGGAACTATGGTGGAGAGCTCCATTGAGCTCCAAAAGTATTTTTGAGAATGCAGGGGAGCTTTTTGATGGTCCCAGGGTGGTATTTTTGGGGCAGAACCCTCCGGTTTTGGTCACAGTCATGTCTGCACGGTGACATGAGTGTGATGTCACTGCCCAGAAGCAGTTCTGTGGGGTGCAGATGAAGCTTTTAATGGTGCTGTAACAGCTTTTTGGGGTGTCAATGTGGTATTTTTGGAGTGTAACCCTCCCATTTTTGGTCACAGGGGGAGTTCTGTGTCGAGGCAGTGCGTGAAGGGCTGGTGGTGGCCTTCGTGCGCTGGCTCTGCCGTACTGCTCGGGGCTTTGCTGACAGCCCAGCTGAGCGAGGTGCCCCTGCAGCACCCCCAGCACTCCTGCTGCTCCTTGCCCGTCTCTGCCTTGACTACGAAGCCACTACCGTCAGCTACATCCTCACTCTTACTGATGAGCAGTTCCCTCCAGAGGTAAGCCGCTCCAACTACCCCCGTTGGCCCAGAATGGCTAAGAGGGGATCCTGACTGTTCCCAGATGTGACAATTTGGCCCTGAGTTCCTAGGTGTCCCAGTGTCTGTCCATGATTTCGTAGTGTTGAAAAGGCATAGAGACCTTTCTTCTAATTGAGTGTGATCTGGGGACTCCAAAATGTTCTCATGGGGATCCTCCATGTGCCCACTGTGTCTCCGTCTCCATCCAGAATGTGGTCCCTCCTCCGCACATGGATGCGGAAGTGTCCCCAGGGTGTCCCAAGGGGCAGCACAGAATGTTCCCAGGAGGCAGTGGGGAAATGCGTATCCCCAAGTCCCTCCAAATGCTCCAAGGTCATGAAGACAGCAGTGACACAGCAGCATATTCAGCAGCCTGGAGAGCATCCTTTGTACTTCCAGGACACAGGGCCAGCAGTGACGCCAGGGCCAGCGCTGTGTGCCGAGGCACGGGGAGCGGCGCAGCGGCTGCTCGACCACTACGTACAGGTCCAGGGAGCTGCGGTGGCACAGATGCTGCGGAAGAGCGTGGAGACACGGGACTGGCTGGGCACCGTCGAGCCCCGCAATGTCCGTGCTGTCATGAAGCGTGTGGTCGAGGACATCACTGCTATCGACGTCCAGGTCAGGGCAACACTGAGTCCCTGGGGAGTCTCTCTTGGTGTCCCTAAATCTGGTGTCCCCAGAATGTCCCAGATGTTCCTGGGAGGGTTTTCAAGTTTCAGAGGGTCCGTGGTGGGGAGGGGCTGACATCCCTGGAAGGTGTAGAGAGGATCCCTGTGGTCCCAATAAGATTCTTAATGATTTTAAGGGGACCCAGAGGGGTTTGGAAGGATCCCAGGGGGACTAGGAGGTTTCAGAGGGTTTTAAGGGATCCTGGTTGGTTTTGGGAGCCTCAAGATATTTTGAGTGGATTTGGAAGATAGTGATGTGATGCTACAGGTGGGGCAGCTCCTTGAGGAAGGAGTGCGGCGGGCGCAGAGCAGTGACTCGAGCCGACGTGCCTTCTCTGTGTACAGCAGCTCACGGGCACCGGGACGCTATGCCCCCAGCTACACTCCCAGGTCAGCTCTGTGCCCCAGGCCACCTCTTGGTCACTGCCCAGTTACCCCGGGTCACACCTTTGTCCCCATGTCCATGACCATCTCCATGTCTTCCCAACTGTCTTAACATCTCCAAATATTTCAACTTTCCCCTACTGTCCCCATGTCCCTGTTGTCATCTTCACATCCCTATCTCGATATCCATCCTCCTTCTCTGGCTGGCCCTGCATCCCCAAACAGTCCAAATATCCCTTGTTTATTCCCAACTTCCCCAGCTGTTTCCATCTTCCTTTCTGTTCCTATGTCCCCAGGCAGTCCTAGTATCCCCTGATGATTCCCATGTGCCCCATGTCTATGTCCTGTGGCTGTCTCCATGTTCCCTGACTGTCCCCACATCCGCTGTCCATTCCCATGTTCTACTGACTGTTTTTGTGCACCCAAACTGTCCTCGTAGCCCATCTGTCTTTGTATCCTCTGGCAGTCTTTGTGTTCTCTGTCTCTCAGTCTCCTTCCCTTGTTCCCTGACAATCCCTGCATTTCCTGTTTTTCTGCACGTATCTTCCCCGTGCCCTCCGACTGTCTCTGCATCCCTGATCGTGCTGTTGTCACCATCCTCAGCGCCCCCATGGACACCCACCTGCTCAGCAACATCCAGAAGCTCTTCTCCGAACGCATTGACATCTTCAGCCCTGTTGAGTTCAACAAGGTGAGGCATGGGAACATGCCAGTGTCCCCAAGGGCAGCTCTTGACCCCACATCCCAAAGGCCCCAAAGCTGTCTGCCTTCCTACCTGTCACATGCCCCTGGTGTCCCTGTGTCTGAAGTTCTGGGGTTCCCCAGAGCACGACAAGCATGTCTGGACTTCAGGGAGGTCCCTGGGATGTGGACCAGGATGAGGGAGTCCCCATGCCCCTGGTGGTGAGACTGGTCCACCCCCAACAGCCCAACTGAGGGCATCCCTGACCTCCCATGTGACACGTCCCATGTGTCAGAACTCAGGACATCCCTGGGGGCTGATGACCAGGATGAGGATTGTCCCTTAATTCTTCTCATCCCCAAGTAGCTGTGGCGCAAGGCCTCCCTGTGTTGGGAATCCCCTGATGCCACTTGTTCCCGTGTCCCAGGTGTCAGTGCTGACAGGGATCATCAAGATCAGCCTGAAGACACTGCTGGAGTGCGTGCGGCTGCGAACTCTGGGGCGCTTTGGGCTGCAGCAGGTGCAGGTGGACGGCCACTACCTACAGCTCTACCTCTGGCGCTTTGCTGCTGATGAGCGTGTGGTGCAGGGGCTGCTGGATGAGGTGGCTGCCAGTGCTGCCCACCGCTGCCTTGACCCTGTCCCTATGGAGCACAGCGTCGTTGAGCTCATCTGTGAGCGTGGGTAGGACCTGAGGGCACCTGAGGACATGGGTAGATGCACAGGTGAGGGGGAACAGGAGCCATCTGTGTGACCTCATGTATTTAAGGACACCCCATGTATTCCCACACATGACACATACAGACATATCATGCCCTCACACCTGTAAGGTCACCCCGTGTTCCCCTCAGCCCCAATAACACCCCACAGTCTCTCCCCACCCCAGTGATGCCAACCCCATGTCCCCCCCCATGCCCAATGACGTGCCACTTCATTCCACTTCTTTGGTGACATCTCCCCCTACACGTGGGACATGCTGCATGCAGCCCACGTGTCACAGTTGAGAACAGTAAATAAAATGCATGCAAGTTAAGCCTCGTCCCTGTGCCTGAATGCCTGGGGGTGAGAACATGTGGGCCCTAGGGGTTGGGTTTCTCTGGATGAGGGGAGCACTTGAACACCTGAGTTCCTGCTAGGTAGCAGGGGGACCCAGCCCCTCATGTGAGCACCCAGTGCCTCGTGCAAACATCCATTTCTTCCTGGCAAACTTGTACAAGCACCCCCTGTGCACCATTGCACCCTGCACAGAAGTTACCACTAGCAACAAAACATATCTTTTAGTGACACAAGGTTGAAAATGTGATAAGTGAAAATCAAGGTAAGAGAATGTTTTGTAAAGCTCTTAGTTGTGGTTGCTGCTTTGTGACCCAGCTTTAGCAGTTGAAGGTCTGACATTTCAAAGCTTCTCACTTCTGTTCTTGTTTAATGAGAGGAAACTTGGGAATGTCAGTCATTACATTCTCTCCCCCTTCCCAAGCCACTCATTTGAGATGATGTGGAGAGAGAAATAATCACAGGCTTCTGAGTGCAGGACAGGAGGGAAAAGAACAGCAGGATTTATTTGCCTCACACTTTTCTCCCTGGTTGGCCTTTGCTGACAGGTTCAGAGCTGCATCTGCATGCCTCAGCCAGCCTGCAATCACTGTACCAGCTCTGCCGGACAGTGCAGGGAGCTGGACTGGCACTCAGCCCTGACCAGAAGATGTTGTACATTTTTAAGTAGTGTGTTAATCGCGTTAACACTTGAGGAAATTTGAAGGTACTCTGTGTGTAACATGTTAATGTAACAATTGAGAGGGCTACTATTAGATGGTGCTAGAAAACAATATTTCAAAGAACAGTTCAAGCTTCATGCGAATTCCTGCTTTGTCCTGCAGTGGCAGGGACAATTCAGTTTGGATTCGAGAATCTTCATGTTCAGCTTTTCAATTTAAGGTTAATATTAAGGATTTAGCATGTGTGTATACATACACATGTATATATAGTGCACTTTCTACAGGAAAAGCATGACTGAGTTCTGTACAGTTTAAGAACAGAATGCTGTTATCTTGATTTGCAGCCTAGAAAACACGAGCAAAAGCAAAACACAAAGGAAAAACGGTCTAAAACCAGTGCTTTATTTACAACTGCTAAAGCAAATTGAAATTGCCATCATTGTGAAGATCAGACCGTTCTGGTGGCACTTCATCATAAGTCATCAGCTTCAGAATGGACAAGAGTTGGGAGCTGCCACATTTAAAGGAAGCAGTAGTAAGAACCAAATGAAGTCACTGCTGCCTCCTTTTCTACCCGCCTTCCCTGCACATCCTTTCTCAAACTTGAAAAAAAAAGACACCTACTCCAGCTACAGTAGGACTTAGTGCTTTGACATAGCACAACAAAGGTCAACACTGTCTATTTCTGTCTGGACCTGGATTAGTCCAAAGCCAAAGGAAACTTGCAGCCATTGATGAATATAGGCTCATTAGAGAGGAGGAAGACTGAAACAGGAGTGGGAACGTGTCAGTTCTGCAGAGGTTACTGGAGGACAAGAAGGCCAAATAAGCAGAGACTTGCAGCAGGGAAAACCAGAACGTGCAAGTATTTGGTACAGAAAACAGATGAGATAAAACAGTGCTTTTGTGCAGCTGCTTTGTAGAGTCAGAGCAGGAGGCTTCTGCAGTGGAGGTTTGTCTCGTGTGAGAAAGAGCTTTTTGTTTCTGGTCTTTCCCCGAACAGACATAGTGTTTTTAAAGTTATAAATCTCTTACTGGAATTAGAGGCAGCCTTGAATAATTCAGCTATGGAAGAACACAGCTAGGGTGTACCGCAAGTGAGATGCTGATTAGCCCAATGCAAAGACAGAGAAGGGAAAGGAACTTTTATTTTCCAGCTACCACGCTGCATTGCACGTTTGTGGGGAACACTTGTTTTGCAAACCGAACTGGTTGGGGTGTGCTTTGCCACATGCCTGACACCAGCACTGCAGAAAGGACTCCGCAAAGCAAGTTAATTGTTTCTTAGGTTGCCTCCTATATTAATAAATAAATCCCTTAACCTTTGGATTGAATCTTTCCTCGACCTCTCCAGCATCACCCCACCAGCATGGTTTAGAAGTTTTACTCGACCTCAACCGCACCTTTCAAAGTGCTTTAATAGCAGGGTGCTCTAATACCTGAAATTAACTGTAACAAGGCTGTAATTAGCTTTCTCGTCTGTCCTCTTAAAATCTTTTGCACTATACGTGTGCAAATCAAGGCAGCTTGTGGACTCTGACTCAGCCTTCCTGTTGGGTCCATTCAAAGCTTTACCTAGATGGATGATGAAGACCAAGCGAGCAATCAAAGTTGTACTCCTCAGCAACTCTTTGCTGAAACCACCAGAAAGTATCGGGGTTAGTACCTAATGCTAACTTCATTTCAAAACTACAGATTTCATTTCAACACTGACACCAAGGATATTAACAGCTCTCCAAGTCAACAGGAAACTGAGACCAAGCACAAAAATCATACAATCACAAGGTTGGAAAGGACCTACAAGATCATCTAGTCCAACTGTCTTCCCATTACCATTGCTACCACAAGCACTAAACCAGATCTCGTAGCTCCTCATCCAGACACCTCTTGAATGCTGCCAGGGTCAGCAGCTTCACCACCTCCCTGGGCAGCCATTCCAGTGCCTCACCACTCTGAGAGAAGAAGTTTTTCCTTATGTCTAAGAGCTTAGTGGCCGCACTGGACTAAGTTGCACGTTCATAATTCCAAAGTTTATAAATCATCACCCTAAACTTTGCAGCTTCCAAAGCTCTGCTGATTTATTAAACTTGTATTGACAAATGCCTGGATTTGTCAGATTTGGCAAATATCAGTAATGGAGATAAGACAAAAGTATCCCTTAAGAATTGGCTGCAAGAAATAAAGGCATGAACATCAAAACCATGTGATATGTGGAAATCCAGTTAGAATGAAGTGGTCACTGCAGGGCAGGCGGCTGTCCAGACGGTGGCTGATGAACGGCTGGAGGGCTACAAGCACAACCACGCCACCGTGTTCCTGCAGCTGCTCACCTTCATCATCCACTCCTGCAGCTGCCAAGGGATGGTGACAGAGTGATGCTGTGGGAGGTGGACAACACCGCTATCATCCAGTGGCTGACGGAGCTCTTCCAGGAGCACTTGTCCAAGTACCTGCTGTCCCTGCAGATGCAGCCCTGATGCTGTGTATGGCAGTGGCCCTGTGGTGCAGTGTCCTGTACAGTGGTTTACTGCTCGGTGGACTCATGGAGGAGTTGAGGACGTGAATGCAGCACTTCCCAGCATCATTCCTCACCGATTGACACCTCAAGTACTTGGGGTGGACCCTGTATGACAAGCAGGTGGAGGTGCAGCCACACTGCATCCGGGCACTGCAGGATCTGTAGGTGCTGTGGAACATGGCTGCTCAGATGGAGCTGTTCACTGGGTGCTGCCTGTTAGTCGTGGTGCTGGATAAAGACTCGGAGGTGGAGTCTGCAGGGCTGTTGATCGAGGAATTCTCCCGGAGGCGCTATGGCCAACTGTCACTTGGTGTACCTGGTGGTGTTTGGCATTCACCACACTGCCACCAGACTGTTACTGTACTGTAACTGTGCCCGCAGGACCCTCATCGTGACAGTGACATGGCATTACCATGTGACAGTGACAACTGCCTGTTCGTCTGCCTGCTGTGCCATTTCTTCCTCTGCAGTGAGCTCCATGAGCATGCCACGTTCCTGGTGGACAGCTTACAGGACTGCACCAGAAAGTGGCTGCACAAGTGGGAAAGGGTCCGTACCATGCTGCTGTAGGATGCCCTCACTGACTGCCAGAAGGCCCTCCTGGAGCTGTTGGCCACTGCCACCACATGGGTGACACAGGGACAGCCACCCCCAGGATGGAGACACCCTCAGAAGCTGCAGCATAAAGTACAGGTGGAAGAACATGTGTCTCAGTCATTGCTTGGAACCAGTCATGAACTGTTGGCCAAGTTCTCGGTAGACATAGAGAAGGTGATGCTAATGATGGAGGTGTTGGGGTGTATTGAACTCGGGGTGTACTGCACCAGGTGGATGGAGAGGGGGGCTGGCGCAGGCACTGGCCCAGCTCCAGGAGCTGGTGCAGAAACATATGGGGCTGGAGGTTTTGAGGGCAGATGCCTGTGCTTTGGGTCATTCTGTGACCCACAACTGCCACTGTGTGGGCATGGGGACCTCATCTGGAGCTGGTGACTGTGCTGTCATACTCATTTTATCTCCGAGAACAGTGACAAAACACTGGTGAAAAGTTATTTGGAATGTCTGTTGGGAAGTCCCAAAGATCCCGAAGCACGGCAGACCTAGAAAGGCTCTGAACAAGTCTGTCAATCACGTAATTTTAGTTCAGTGAAACTGCTGCACAAGAACCAAGATCAAGTCCCCACTTTGGACACAAGATAGTAGAGGATGAAGAAAACAACAATCAGTCCTATAGAAACAAAGCAGAGTAACTTGCGGTTCTCCCTCCCAGACCGTGTCATGGTGGTGAAACGCTTCACACTGCCAGTCAGCAGGCCTGTCACACTCATAAAATCTGAATCCTGGAGGAGAAAGAAAACACAGAAAGAGGCATTTTAAACTGGAAAAGCAGTCCACGAAGAGTCCTGCTTCCTGCTTAAAAAACAATTGCAGCAGGAGCTGCACAGTAACTGTCTGTGTCTCTGTGCCTATCATGTCTCTCTCGGGAGGAACTTCCCTGCCATTGCTCATGGCAACGGCACAAGTAAATACTTCATACAAAGGAAATGTCTCTACATAAGCTAGCACCACTAATGCATGCTAGGTCAGGCTAAAAAGCACCAAAATCATACAGTTTCTTTCCATCAGTTCTCTCTTTTCAGCACGGGGCAGCATGCATCTGTACCACCACCAGATGGTAGCAAACAGGTCTCAGATCAATGCAGTTTGTTATCATTTTGACTCCTTGTCTGTTTTCCTTACTCATAAACTACCTCCCAGTTTTTGCTCATGTTTCTCCTGAAACATCTCAAAATCTCTCTAACAGAAGCACAATTGCATGCTGATTCAGGGCTTCTCCTTTAAGATCTCTTGCCTTTACACCTCTTATTCCAGCTCTCCACTCTTCTAATTTCTGGGCTGAACAAATATCCATTTCAGTTACTCAACACCATCAGCGCACACGGCTATTAAACTTCCAAGCTGAGCTCCCACCTTTGACCAAACTGGTTTCAACATGGTAATTCATGTTATTTACACTGTTTTTGGTTCCTTACCATGCCATCCAGGTATCGGTTTTGTTCATCTGCGTCTTTATCAATATCCAGAGCCAGCTACAGAGCACAAGAGAGAACACTGATATTAATGAACTTATAACACGAAGACAACCTAGAATGCATCTAAATGCTTGTAAAACCTGAAACATGCTAGAGGATGCAGTTTCATCTGCTCTTCATCTGCCACACAAACAGGTTTGTGAAGCACAGCCACAAAACAAGGTTCTCACTGCTCTTTCAGGCTGTCGGAATTCTTCAGCTGTAGAAATAAAGCTTGGCAAGGTGGCAGAAACTTTCATATGTCAGACATATAAAAGCTCCTTCCAGCAATGCTGCCAACAGATGATGGACCAAAGATTCAGAATTGCCTCCTACTGGTACAAGCCATGCCATCGCATGACCACAGGGCTCTCCGAGGGCCGTTAAGACGTAGGAAGCCCACTGACCACACATCTGTGTTGCTCGTGAGACCCTGCAAGCGTACAACCGCGATAACCGCCCTTCCTCCACCACAGCACCAGCAACTCACCGACTTCAGCCTGGTGACTTTGCTGGCCAGGCTCTCTGCCATGCGCTTGTTTTCCACGTCCAGCATATCCTCCATGGCAACCGCATTCTGTCCTGAGAAGAAAAAAGATGCGTCTCATCAGCCTGGCGCGCTCCACCGCACATCCCCGCGGCGCGTTGGACACACTGCCCCATATGGCGGCGGGGCGCCCCTCGGCCCCGTTTGGCGGCCGTCGGCCCAGCGCGCCGCTCGCGGCCAGCCCCTCACCTCGCCCCCAGTCCGCCATGGCGGCGCCCGGCGTGGCGGGAAGCGGCCCCGCCCGGCAGGAGGAGCCCCGCCTCCGCAAAATGGCTGCCGGGCCGCCGCCTTCCCCGTTGGGTGGCGGGGCCGGGTGCTAGCGCCGCGTGCCCTTGTGGTTAGCGAGCTCCGAGCGCGGGAGATGCGGCAGGGCGCCGGGGACAGGCAGGTAACGGTGCTTCCTCCCGCCCCCCCACCGCCTGGGTCTGCCCGCCTCAGGCCGTCCGCCGCCTGGCTGCCTGTCCTCCCCAGCTCCGCTCGCTTCCCGGGAATGTTTCTGGGTTTGTTTGTTTTTGTAGCTGCTCCCCGCGATGGCAGGAATCGGGGCAGGCCGGGGAGGAGGAGCAGGGAGCTATTTCGGGGAGCGCCGTGATCTGCCGCGGTAATCCTCAGGCAGGGAGGGGGGGCTGTCCAGCGCTGCGCTGGGAGGGCGTGCATTAAACGTCGGAAAGCAAAGGGGAAGAAGAGGATTAGAGGGGCAGAGAGGAGGGCTGGCCGTACGTGGCTCACCCATCTGCTCTGCTTTATGGACGTAACAGCGAGCCATCTCACTTGATTTTTATTTCTTTTCCTCCTCCTTTTCCCCACCCCTTTCTGGCTCCCTCTCAGCTCTCAGGATCTAGATCCCTTTGCACCACTGTTATCCAGGAGCCCTGGAAGCCCCTCACTCCCCTTCCTCTGTGCTTCCCCTTCCTCTCTGCTTCCCCTTCCTCTGTTGCTGAGCTGTTGATGTAATGGAGCTCAGGACTGTAGTGGCCACGGTGGAAAACGGGGAGCAAGATGCGGTCCTCAAGGTGCTTCAGATCTACAACCAGGAGGTGAGTAAGCATCACACCTCAGCCTGATGTCCCCTGCTTCTGTTGGCAAGCCTGGAAGCAGGTTGGCCTTGTTATGGCATCGCAGTGCTACCCAGCTGTCCCCAGTTTGTCTCCTCTGAGCATCTGTCTCTGTATTTCTTCCCTGGAGATGTCACAGACTGCTTTGTCTTATTACTTGCAGGCTGCATCTTGCTTGATGCATGCTAGGAAGCAGCTAAGCAGCCTCGCTTTATCTCGTTTATGCTGGAAGAAAAGCACATGGGAAGGATTTTCTTTATTATCCAGATCACAAGTTAAACCTGATGGGGGAATAATCGTGGGCATGAAGAGTGAGTAGGAGGAGCCTTGATGTTGAGCAAGGCTTGGAGGTAAAAAAAACTCACACCAAGGGAGGAGCTGCAGGTGGAATTGTTGTGATTTCTAAGGGAAAGATCATTAGAAACTGGTGTGAACGGAGGCTGGAATTGGATTCAGGTGCCCGATCTGAAAGCTGACACATGGAATAGTGAGTGTGATATATGGAGAAGACTATGTTGGGAAGCTGAAATGCAAGTGGCTCAGCCTTACAGTGGCAAAGATCATCTGCAGGGGTAGTTCCCTTTTGAAACTGTCTGCCAGGGAAATTTCCTTGAGAGGGTTTCCACCAGGCCAGAGCTGGCCCTGCAGATCTGTGACTCATTCTGCACCATTCCAAAGTAGGAGGGAAAAGCTGGTGGGGAAAACCTGTGAATATTTTACAAGAGTGTGCAAGAGGGGAAGAGCACTTCTATTTCCAGCAGTCGGTTTTGAAACAGGAGAGGTCTTAGCTAAGGACAGTGGATCCCTGTTAAAAGGACGGTCTGCAGGATTAGCATTGCTGGCAGCAGCTGGCATGCTGGAGAATTTAGGATAGCAAATGGCATTTGTTGTGCAACCATGTTGAGGCATCAAAACCAATGCCTTGAATTCCTCCAGCTGGTTTCTTTGTCAGCATATCAAGCGTAGGAAACTCGTGAGAATGTCATTGATTTTGCTAGCCTGTCTGGAAGAAATGGAGCGGCTGAAGAGATGAAACTGATGATAAACCAAGTGACTTCCTTGCATCGTTTTTTACTGCAAAAGCTGATGTTATATCCTTCCCTAGTGTGTGTGTGTGTGTGTGTGTGTGTGTGTGTATATTTAATTCACTATTAAATATGGAGTCAGTTCCTGGTTGCCAGGAGTAAAATACAGTTAAAGGAAACCCACAGGTGTGTTATGAAAATATATATGTAAATTAGCTCACAGGAGCCTGCAAAGAAGCTCTGGAAATGCCCTGTGCAGGAAATCAGTCTGGCTAACGTTCTGACTTGAGAAGATTCACTGGCACAAGGAGAAGCTCCGCTCTGCATGGAGTTGGGGATGCTGTAGGAGCAAAGAACAAGGATTTGTTTGCAAGTAGCAAGGAGGTGAGGCTTTCTTTTAGGAAGGAAAAGAAACAATAACAAGGGGAGAAGAGTGTAGGCATAGCTTGATGGTGTCACTGAGTGTAGTCAAGGTATTTTGCCCAGCAAGGCTGTGGATACTGAGTATCTGGAGGTGCTCAAGGCCAGTCTGAGGGACGTTTTGGGCATACTGATCTGGTGGTGTTCGTGCCTACGGCAAGGTGTTGCAGTTGAGATGAACTTTAAGGTCCCTTAAAACCCAAACTATTCTATGAGTTATGGGGTATTTGGAATGTGTTGAATACCCGCCTCACAGCTGCAGTATATAAAATTAAGCTCGTCCATCAGAGAGGCGCAGCTTTGGCCTGTGACATGCAGTGTTCACCATTGAGCCCGCGGAAGAGTAAAATGGGTATTCATCAAATGTTTTTCAGGGATGAAAGAGAAGGAAAGCAACTTAGACCTGGCAGCATGGGCTGTATGTGTGCTTTTCAAACAAGTTTCATTCCTGCTTGTGGTGAGATGTAGTTGGAGTTACTGGATGCAAACTGTGTTGAACAGAGAAGGCAATAATGAAGCAAAACTCTCAGCAGCAAAAAAACTGTCCTTATGTCTGGCTCCTCAGGAGCCTGTGCTGCTTGTTACAAATCCTGTGAATACTGCAGACCTTTCTCAGTCCTCTGACACCTTGCCTCTTTGATTCCCTGCCTCTGAGCTGGTAAGAACTGCTCTTAAGAAGGCTTGTATGTCTTTGCAGCGTGTTTTTCAGACCTGTTGCTTTTCAGGCTTATGTCCATTCCCCAGTTGGGGAAGGCAGTTTCGTGGATTTTTTTAAACTCATACCTTGTTTCTCTTCTGCCCTACAGAAATCTCAGTGCTTCACCTTTGATGATGAGGAACGGGAGGAGAGGAAGGTAGGCATGCTCTTTGGCTTCTTGTTTTTGTTGGATAATGAAATCTGCAGCTCTGAGCTTGTGTGGCAATGCTTGGAGGTGGCAGCTCCTGCAGGGCAGGAGATGGTTTCTTACTCCTGAACCTGATGAAGTACCTGGTTGGGTTCCTTAGGTGGTGGCTGAGGATAAAAGTCAGCATTCTTCCAACGTTAGCAATCACTTTGGGCTTTGTGATGCATATAGCTTCAGCAGCGTGCATGAGAAGTGTGATCGTGTGTGTTTGTGTGTAAATGGTGCAAGTCTGCTAGGCAAAGTTCACAGGAGCATGTAGATAAGTGCTTTTGCTCAGAGCCATCTGCAGGATTTGACCAAGGCTGTGTATTAAGAAACCCTTTCAGCTGGAATAATCTGGCACTCAGTGGAAAGAAATATCCCTGTCCATTTCCACTCATGGCATTTCTCTTATGCCAGGGCAGGCCTTTGCACAGCTGCACTGTGGGTATGCTTGGTGGGATCTGCTTTAAGAAAAACACCTTTGTTTTTCTTCTGCCTGGGATATTTTCCATCTGGATCAGTTTTGTGGTGGACTGTGTGTGGAAGCAGGGGATTACTGGTGGAGTATGATGTGTAGTTAAAACCTAGCTGCACTGGGTTGTGTGAAGCTTTACCTTTTGCTCTTGTACTTTTCCATGTTTGCTATCACGTATGTTATTGTTACTCACAAGGGTTAGATCTTCAGCTGTGATAAATCAGTGTTACTGGAGCTCTGTTAGTCTGTACCTACTGAGGATCTGGGCTAGTAGGGCTCCAGACAGCTCTGAGATTTAGGGAGGTTCTTTTTATTTGAATCTTCTGAGGTCTTTTCCCCTCCTTTCTTACCACATCACGTGCACTTCTGAACCCATTTTATTCCTTTTCCCCTCCCACAGCAGTTCTCTGGTGCTTCTCAGCCTCAGCAGTCTGTTTTTGGAGCACCCAAAGCAGATGCTTCTCTGGTCTTAAGGCTCTGGGTGTGGCTGAACCACTGCTGTTGAATTGACTGCTGGTCCTCAGTGAAGATATAAGGGACTTATTTGCCCTGCTTTCTTAGCTTATTGCAGCTGTCAGGTAACCCATCCTAACCATGGGTGAAGCTAAAATAAGTAGTTGTTCACTCAGTCAGCAACAGCTGCATCTTCCTGTTCTCCACTTAGATCTGACAGCACTCCCCAGCCATTCTTTGTCTCTTGCTGGTTGTCCTTGCTTGACTTGGGTCAGCGTTAGGTGCCAGAGGCAAACACTTTGAGAGCTGCTGTGCATGGCCTGGATCAGAGCTGTTAGAAGGCCTGTATGTAGATGATGCTTTGTGTCTAGATGATGCTCCCATCTTTAGGGCGGGGTGTTACAGCATGCTACCTTGCACTGGGGCTGCATTGTGAAGTGTCAGCATGTGATACATTCTTTGTTTTCAACCACACAGAAAATGGCCCAGTTGCTGATCAAGTTCCTGGAAAGAGAGCTCCAGCCATCCTGCCAGGTCACGTGCTTGGAAAGCATCCGCATCCTGTCCCGGGACAAATACTGCCTTGAGCCTTTCACCACCAAGGAAGGGCTGAAGACCCTCTCCAGGCATGCTGGCATTGACTACTCAGAGGAGATCATCCGAGAGGTCCCAGACTTGGAGGTCATCCTGGAATCCCTCAAATGCCTCTGCAACGTTGTCTTCAGCAGCCCGAGGGCACAGGAGCTGACAGCTGAAGCTCGGCTGGTGGTGGGCCTGACAAAGCGCGTCAAACTCTACAATGAGAGGAGCCTTCCTCATGAAGTCAAGTTCTTTGACCTGCGTCTTCTCTTCCTGCTGACAGCGCTGAGAGTGGACATCCGACAGCAGCTAGCCCAGGAGCTCCGGGGCATCAGCCTGATGACAGACACCCTGGAGCTGACTCTTGGCGTCAAGTGGATGGACCCCTATGAAGTTGTCACTGAGGAAGGACTGCTTCCACCTTTGCCTCGGCAAGAGACGGAGCGAGCCATGGAAATCCTGAAAGTGCTCTTCAATATCACTTTTGATTCCAGCAAGAGGGAAGTGGATGAGGTAAGCTGCTTGAGTGTTGCACCACACTACATTCGCTTGTCTACTGGTTTTCGCCTCTTGCACATCCTTGTGTTAGATACCAGCCCCCATGCAGCCTCTGCTTACGTGTAAGCGTAGCAAGAGACTTGTGTGTCTGGACCTTTTTCTATAGGGCACTGTCTCTGTCTGACACATTAAGACTTTTCAGCATTAAAACCTGCAAGTTGGGCATTTTTCTTTCTTAATGATATTAATGACTTGTGCAAGTGGGAAAGCAGACCCCCTCCTCCCCCTCCTCACTCTCCCCACGTAACTCACTTGTGTGTGTCCTGTTGCCTTTTGCCTCTGGACAAGATCAAAAGGAGGTCTGATATCATCTCTACTTTATCCCTGGGCCTGCTCCTGGGCCTCTTTTAGCCCTTGACTTGGTGCTGTAGAGTGATGGGAAAGGTATCTGGCAGCAGATTGAGAATCTGGAGGATATTTGCATGTATACCCCCTGATACAAGTGAGCAGGTTGTTGCAGGGCAGGGATGGGGCTGTGGGTTGTAGGGGCAGCAGGGTTTTGTTTGTGGAGAATTCACTTTTCTGATCAAGGTTTTCGTTTTCTGTTTTGGGACCAGGAAGATGCTGCTTTGTACCGGCACTTGGGTGCCCTCCTGCGCCACTGCCTCATGATCTCTGCTGACGGGGAGGACCGGACAGAGGAGTTCCACAGGTCTGCTAGATAACTAGATAATGGCCTTTACTGGACACAGCCTCGAGGTCTCCCCAGCGCTGGCCCTGCCTGACCTTGGCATTAACATCCTTTGCTTATACGGTGATTGTTAGAACCACTGCTGAGAAGCAGGCATCTTTTGTCTGGTTTGCAAATTCCTCATGCTGCTAGAGTTCAGAAGTAGCCTTGTCCTTTGCAGTCATATTGTGTGCAGTAATACCACAGCCTGGTTTACAGGAGAAAAATGTTTGGTCTGCGCCTTCCTGACTGCTGAGGTCATGTTCAGAGTAATCTATCAGGTCCCTTTGATGGTGCTACCCACAGTGAGCCAGGGCAGATGTTTTTTGTTGTTTTTTTTTAATTAAAGAGTCCCTGGGCTGGTCTTAATTAACTGTACGTCTCCTGAGCCATGCTCAGAAATTGCATGTGTTACACTGTTGGGCCTTATTGGTTCAGGGCTGTCAGCTTTGAGCAAGCAGTACCATCTGTCCCTAGGAAGACCACAGTAGAAAGGATTCTGAGCAATGCATTCTAGCAGCCATCAGAGTATGAATGAGTGATGCAGCAGCAGTCCCTAGAGACCACCCTCTCTCCACCTGGCTTGGTCCTAGTTGGCCTCTGTGTCAAGGTCTGTGGTTTTTCTGTTGTCACTGAAGTATTTTTGGACTTTCAGCAAGTTGTTCAACTGTAATGGGGGGTGGAGGAGGGAAGCAGTTTCGCTTATTCAATTCTAGTGGTGTAGGTAACTTGGGATCCAGCCCAAAGAGGGCTTGGTTCTGTTTTCAGAGTCCTTTTGCTCCTGGAAGGTCATAAAGAACCTTGATTCCTGTATAGTTGGTGAATTTCTATGAACAAAGATCCATGACTATGTATACACCTCTGTTCTTTCTTAAGCCACACAGTTAATCTTTTGGGTAACCTGCCCCTGAAATGTCTGGATGTTCTCCTGACCCCAAAAGTCCGTCCGGGATCACTGGAGTACATGGGTGTCAACATGGATGCGGTTAATATCCTGCTGGATTTCCTAGAACGACGCCTTGACAGGGTAAGCTGAGAGGCTGCTGCACAGAGCTCTTCGCTGCTGCTTTTCACAAGATCAGTGCAGGGCACGTTTCTGTAAGCTTGCATTCAGGCTTGGTGCTGAGCAATTCAACTCATCGTGCCAAAATCACAGGAGTGCAAGTAAAAGGCATGGCTACTTTGGAGACAGTGCTGTACAGAAGTGGCAGTTGTAGTTGGTAGGACTAGAACATTTGTGAACTGGGAGGGTCACTGGCACTGCTGCTATGGCAGGTAGTGAGATTGACAGAGCCAGCAGATGCTTATCTTTGTGATTCAAATATTCTGTTTCACTCAGGTCAATTATGATTTGGTGGGCAGCTTAATTGGTTGATGCAAGCAAGTCTCTAGACTGGTGGCTTGTTATGACACTGTCCCAACAGTCTGCTGTCGGAAGACTGGCAGTCATAGTGTTATTTGTCAAGACCATTTGTCTTTCTTTACTCCTCCTGGGCACTTGTCCCGCTTCGTTCCATTGCTTTTGACAGCCTGATTTTGTACTGTTACTGAACTAGTGGCCATTTTCATTCTCTGGAGTTGTTCCAGAGGGTCTTCAGATTTTACTGCTGCACTTATCTGCTCTAGATGTTCTGCACTGAGTAGAAATGCTGAACAGAGGGACTCAGAAAGCCTTGCTGTTGGAGGAATGATGAAACATTGAATTTCCTGTAGCAGAAGCTGTTGTTATGTCTCAGTGTCCCTCTGTTTCCCTGCAGTTCAGTGCTGATGATCTCCACCATGAGCCAGGGAAGTTGAGCTCAGTGTAACTGACATGTTGCTCATCTTGTGAATGCTTCTGCAGGGACATAAGCTGAAGGAGAGCTTGACCCCTGTGCTGAACCTGCTGACTGAGAGTGCCAGAGTCCACCGCCAGACAAGGAAGTTCCTGAAGGCAAAGGTATGCCATGGATTCAGCTGAAAGTCAAGTGGTGGTGCTCTGAGGAGAGAGGAGAATAGCAAGCTGCCTAAATATTGCCATTCTCCAAGGAGACTTCCTCTCTCTGTTAGATTCATATATATGTGGGGTTGAAGCCCATGATGTGCACGGTGTTTTTCTCCACCTCCCCCCGTGCTCTGTGGATTTGTTAGACTTAGCTGACTTGTACAGTGCATGCACTTCTTTCCCTGCCTACCCTACGGATGCTGTTCCAGCTCCAGTTACTGCTTCTCGCTGTGGCTTTGTAGGTGCTGCCTCCGCTGCGGGATGTGAAAAATCGTCCGGAGGTGGGGAACTCGCTGCGGAACAAGCTGGTGCGTTTGATGACCCACATCGACACCGACGTGAAGCACTGTGCAGCTGAATTCCTCTTCGTGCTCTGCAAGGAGAGCGGTGAGTCACAGGGAGTTCTGGGGCGTGGGGTGGTGACCCTCTGCAGAGCACCGCTTCTCCATGGCCTTCAGCTGAGCTCACTGTTGGCACGCACAGCAGGAGGATCAACACGAGGTCCGTCTCTCTCCCGCTAGTGTCGCGGTTCGTGAAGTACACAGGCTACGGGAATGCAGCTGGGCTCCTGGCAGCACGAGGCCTGATGGCTGGTGGCCGGGAGGAGGGAGAGTACTCGGAAGACGAGGACACTGACACAGAGGAGTACAAAGAGGCAAAGCCCAAGTAAGAATTCTGCTTCCTCTCTGTTAGCATCCCCCTTCCTCCAGCTCTATCTCTTTTTTTTCCTGTCTATCCCTGCCAACTCCCTTGTCTTCTTTCATTATTGACGTTTTGCCCTTAGTTTTGATGTTGTTCCACTATCTTTACCTTTTTCTTGGGTGAAATGCTTCTGTGGCAGAGCTCTTACCTCTTTGCTTCCCTCCTTTGCACTGGTCTCACTGTTCTTGTAGCATTAATCCTGTGACGGGACGTGTTGAGGAGAAACTTCCCAACCCCATGGAAGGGATGACTGAAGAGCAGAAGGAATACGAAGCCATGAAGTTAGTCAATATGTTTGACAAGTTGTCCAGGTATGAGAAAACTGTGTGTGTTTATGCCTGTATTAGCATCTGTGTGATTTACATTTATCACTGGCCTCTGCAGACTGTAGGATCATGAGACTAGGGACGATACCTGGAGAAGTATTTCCAAATTTGCATAAGCTGGGTCCTGTTAAATCATTAATAGGTACCACAAAGAGGGCCTACGGTCTGCTAAGTGTTCTGATTGCCCTCCTGAGGGGCAGGAGGGAAAGGGGCAGTACACTTGATGCATGAGTTTTTCCACGGTGTGTTAAAGGATGAGAACAGACGTTGATGTCTCTGTTTCCCTCTGGCCATCCTGCACTGCAGAATGAGACCCTAAAAACAGATTCTATTTCAGGGTAACTGAGAACTGCAAAACCTGTGGGTTGTATTTCCAGCTGTTGCCTCACTGTCCTCATCTCTTACATGGGATTTTTGCTTTTGGTGCTGGCTTGAGGGATTGCTCTGGGCTGCTTCATGCCAGTTTCCTACAGTTCTTGCTGCAGGACTTCCTTTCCTCCAGTGCTGCTGCAAGTTTGTTACCTTCTCCCTTCTCCTCCCTGGTTGCAGAGAGCAAGTCATCCAACCCATGGGCATCACGCCGAGTGGCAACCTGGCCCCCATGGAGAATGCCATCCATGATATAGCTGATGAGAGGTCCTCTTCTGACTCGGACCTGGGGCTGGACTGATCCTGACCTCTTGCCCCAGCCTCAGAGAGCTGGGCGGCCTCCACCCACTCTCGTCCAGAACTGGTGCTGCACCTGGAGGCTAGTACCAGACCGGGACTCTCCCCATGGGATCTGAATCCAGCCTGGGCCCCTCACACTTCGCAACGAAGAACCTCCAGCCTCCTTCTCAGCTCTGTAACCACCTCTCCTTCTGGAAGGTCATCATGGCCTGGCTCCACTTGGTCTCTTCCATTGGCAGCTTTGAGAATATCAGACTCCCAATTGCTTCCAGGACTTTTCAGTAGGATTTTTTTTTTTTTTTTTTTTAAATGTATGATGTTTGGGGGAGGGAAAAGAGTCAGGGGAATCTTTCTGTCAGGTCATCGTGCTGATATTTATGTGGCTGTGTATCAGCGTGTGTGTCCCCATGTATGGTCAGCCCTGCACAGGGGAGCTGTTCTCCAGGAATGCAGGTGGGACTGCAGACAAGAGTGGGTGTTGCAGGGAATACAGCCTGTGGGATGCCTCAGCATAGTGCACCCTTGTCATGAGCAGTACGTGCGGATGTGCTGCATGTGGCAGTAAGCATTATGACATCTGTGCAAACAAGATTGTGTGGATGTATATGAGTGCTGTGGGGAGCATGGTGTGTGTGCTTTGGGGCAGGCAGGAGGGGGGGGACTTTGAGACACTTCTGTCGTCTGCAGGAAAGGAACTTGTGACGACTGCCGGAAATGCTCTGATATTTTGTCTGTGGTACTGTGCAACCTCCTGTTACCACAGAGATTAGTTAGCAGTGCTCTTACCCTTCCCCATCTTACACTGATTGAAAGATTGGAATAGGGTCTGTGTGTGCTGGCCTCCTCACCTGCCTCAGCTTTCCCACAGATTTGCTGCTGTTTGCACCCAGGGGCTGCTATTGGTCCTCTGCTATGGCTTACATTTCTTTTTATGTATTTTTTTTTTCCTTTTTAAAGAAAATCTAGTTTGTCTTGTACCAGGAGTTCCAAAATGTAACTAACAAGTAGGAATGCAAATGTGATGCTAGAATAAAGAAAACCTTCTGACAAATGGGTGCATGGCAGTGATTTCATTGAACGAGTTCTGAACAAGCAAGGAAGGATCATCTTCTGATTGGCATGTGGTTCTATCCCAAAACAGTGCTCTGAAGGGTAAAAGCCAGAAAGACTCCTTCCAGAAAGCAGTACCACCACATTTCTTTCATCCACCAAATAAGTGGTAGCAGATCACTTTACCAAGACAGGGCCTTTCTGTGATGAACCCATGCTGCCTATGCTCGATAACAGGTTTGTTCTTTAATTACCTTTCAGTAGAACCCAGGATAATAGTCTCCATAACTTCTCCAGAGACAGATTGGACAGATAGGTCTGTAGCTTCCTGGGTCTTCTCTCATGCTCTTCTCGCAACTCAGGATAACGCTGCCCAGCTTTCAGCCTCAGGGACCTCCCCAGGCTCCCAAGATCTTTGGTGAATTGTTGAGAGAGATTCAGCTTCTTCTGTGCTCTGAGGTAAATCCCACAGACTGATTAATGCTGAGCTGATACATCTGGAGCCACATGTGGCCAAATGGAATGCCACTGCTCCTCAGTTGTGGTCCTCCAACCTAAAGGGCTGGACAGCTCAAGATCTATCACAAATACTAAAAAATGAGGCAAAAAGAGCATGAAATACCTCTGTCTCTTTCTCATCCTTGATTGCTAGGTCCATCTCCACCAAGGATCTGTCCTGTGTTTTCCTTAGCCCTTCTCTTGCTGTTAACATACTTTTAGGCTTTTAATGTTACTGACTTGCTCTTTGTGCCTCACAGCAAGCAGCTGTTTACAGGACTGCTCATCTCCTTTGCAAATGCTCTGTAAAAACCATCCACACCAGCTGTTCTCCCTCTGTGGAATAAGAATTTGCTGCTTGGCCTTTGCAACAGGACGTGAGCCAGCCTGGATGATTGCCTGGTTTCTGACAGCCCCAGGCAGCAGTAGGTCTCTGGGGACAAGGTAGGCTGGAGAGGCTCTGGTGGGACACCCAAGATGTCTGGGGCTGGGAGGCTGCAGATGTGTGACCAGGGGCTGCATCAGAGGTTTGTGGTTGGTCCTGCCCAGGTAGTGGTAAGAACTGTGAAAGGCTGTCTCTTTGAGAAGCTGAAAGTGTGCTTTGTAACTGCAGTGCTAGTTTATCAGTGATGATGGTATTTTTAGCAGTAGTGATTAAAATTCTGCAAAAATCACATCACTCTAAAGTAGCAACAGCCCCTCTGCTTTCCCTGGTGCTGCACGTTCAGATCTGCTGAGATCCCACTTGTGAGGACCACACAGATGTATTTGAATTGTGCTTTTGGATAAATGAGCTTGTTTCTCTGAATGCACTTTTGTTCAAACCTTTCTTCCAGGAAGCTGCTAGGACACAAAGCGTGGAAGTCTCTGTTCTTGTAGCTGCGCCAGACTTCAATAGTGTCCCTAGAGCTGTTGGATGTACACCAGCTGTGTATTAGGTCTGAAGACTTGTAATTATACAGACAGCCATTTATACAGCTTTTGGAGGCTGTAGCTTTGACTTGGAAGCTGCTTTGTAGAGCAGAGAAGTTAAGAAGTGTCCAGTGTTGTATTAGTAAGACACCTATCTATTTTGTTGGGACAGTATGTACTCAAGCACAAGAGACTGTGTGAAACTTACAGAAAAAACTCTCTGCTGGCATCAGCAAAATAGTTGTAACTCTTTATTATTAATAATCATCCCTACCCTGATAATTCTTAGCGGTTGAGCTGGCCTTTCTGAACAGGAACAGGCCAGGCACATTAACAGCAATCATCTCCTGATCAGCAGGCTTCATCCAAAGACTAAACATTACCAATCTGCAGGAGCTGGCAGCTCATGATTAAGAACAAAGTATCTGTGGAAGAGATCATCTGACATGCTGGTGAAACTCATGGCTGGACATTGTCAAATGGTGCTTTGACAGAGACAGAGCCACGCAGGAGTAAAGTATCTCCTAATGGGTGCTGAAATGAGGTAAGGTGAGGAGGAACAACCTTCAGTGGCTACATCAAATGTTTTGAAGTCTCAGATAGAAAAGCCTTCACATGTGGAAACTGTAGCTTGGCAGTGGGGCTGTGCTCCTTTCAGCTTCCCTTCCTTCGTGGGTGACAGGGTCTCACTGCTTCCAGGCTGGCTGGAATGAGCCATGAGCATCCTCCTTTTCCCAAATGCCAGTCCTATGTAGATTTCCTGCTGCAGACCTGGATGGACTTTTCCACAGCTCCCTGCTATTGCCTCTTTCTTTGCTCAAGCTGGGCATGACAACATCTCCTTCTCTTCAGGATGAACACAGCTTTCCAGCAGCAGGGAGCCAGCTGTCCTATTGGTCTTTTGCGTCCAGCTAAAAATAAAGACCACAGTGTTTGCTTGGATGTTTCAAACCTCCCACCCCCCACTAGCTCAGTCAGTGACGCTGCACCAAAATCCCAAAGCAAGGAGGTTTTTTCATGCTTTGCAACACTTGCACTAGCTTTGTCCATCCATCTGTGGCTTAGAACAGCACAAGCATTAAATGAAACCAAAGCAATTAGGTGAATGTACTGAAAGAGTACTCTGCTAAGGTGATGCTTGGCTCCCTGTTTAGTTGAGCAGTTACTCCCATTAAAGCAGGTAGCATTAACAGCATCTCAGGCTCACAGGCAGGGCTAAGCACTATAAAAATCAAGTCCTCTACTGCCTTACAAGATTGGACTAGATTAACATAACTTTTTTTTTTTTTGTCTGTGACTCTGGGCTACTGTCCTTAAATCTATATGGTGTGTTCCATTTGGGAATAAATAAATAAGCAGCTGAAAGCCACAGACAGCTTTTCAGTAATCAAGCATGTCACCTCTTGACAATGCCTTACAGCACTCACGCTCAACTCTGAGTTTGGCATTTTCCACATTTTTCCTGTTTCCTCTGAGGCTGGCAGCTCTGTCCTCCCCTTCTGCCCACTGAAATGTTTAGCAATACAGCAGTCTGCTCTGTGGCACTGTGCCTGCCCCCATTGCAAAATACCACTGCTGTTTGCTTTTTTAACCCTCCTGCACTTTTCCCTGGTTCTTTTCTCTGAGTGCTAACTGTGAGTGTGGCAATGCCTGTGGTGCAAGTCTCTAATCCCAGCAAGCACTGCCTGCATCCCCCCTAAGATAACTCAAGCACTAGGAATGGAGGCCAAGAGAAGGAGATGGGGCACCGAGCTCCTTCCCACCTTTTCTTTTTCTTTCTGAATTAGTGTTTGCATCTCTTCGTTCCAGTCCAGCAATTCCACGAGCTTCTTGATCCCAGTGACCACATCCTCCAGCTGGGCTATGTCATTGTAACGTTGCTGCCAGGCAAACGGTCCTACAAGATCTCGGTTGATGAGGACCCGGGGAACGGAGTTGCGAACAGCTCCTGCCAGGCTGGCAAAGGGCTCCACCTAGAGGGAGGCAACCCGGCAGAGCAGAGAGAAAGCTGGTCACCCTGCTGCAGGGATCAATTCATTGCGTGCTGCATTTCAGAGATTTCAGACTGCTGGGTTCGTGCTTAACAAGTTCTCCCACCATGGGCTAAGCTATCCCAGCTTTGAACTGGTTATGGATGTTGCCAGTTATCCCATGGCCTCAGGTTGCTGCAAAAATTACTTCTTCCATTCCAGGTGCCCACCTTCACCAGGAGCACTTAAAGTTTTCATACCGCATCTGAGTGCATACACCCTGCTTCCCGCTACCTCCAATTTTACCTAGATAACCCAGTTCCTTGCCTTCTCTAACCCCTCTCTCTCCTCCAGAGCCCCTCGGGCCCTTTTTTCCTTGTGAACAATGACATTGCCTAGTCCCATACCTCCAGGGACGTTCCGATGACAAAAAGCAGGTCTGCCATGGGGAAGTCTGTCAAGTGCAGGAAGAAGCGCTGCGGGAGCTCCTCGCCAAAGAACACGATGTCAGGCTTGACGATTCCGGTGCAGACACGACAGTGAGGGACCTTGTCTGCCATAACGTCCCCCTGAAGTAAAAGTACCCAATGCCAGTTGATATGGGGCAGCACATATACACACAAGCAGGGTCACAACCATGCTGGACCCTCTCAGTAACATTACTTCGTGTCAGTGCCCAGCTGCAGTCACTCACCCTGAAGTCCTCTCCTGGGAATTTCCTCCGACAGACTGTGCACGTGGCAGTAGCAAAAGTGCCGTGGGCTTCCACCAGTCTATCAGGAGGGATCCCAGCAACTGGAACACAGCAGGTGGGAGAGGATCAGCTCAGCATGAGGTGACTGAACCAGAAACTCCATCTTCAACAGGCATTTCCCCAGTTCTCCTGTTCTGTTTCTCATCCTCATCTTTTTCTGGTACTGTACTGCTGAGAGCTGGAGAAAACTCACCTCGCTCCAGCCCATCAATATTCTGAGTATAGAGACGCAGAAGGAGCCCTTTGTCATGCAGGAGTCTCAGGAAATAGTGGGCATAGTTGGGTCTATAATTGCCAGGGTAGAGCTCCTTGGCCAAAGTGAAAAATGGCTTGGGGTTGATGAAGAAGTAGGCCAGTTCAAAGATGGCTTCGGGATAAGGGATGCTGTACTGCTCAAGGTTACTATAGAGGCCACTCCCTGGGGACCTGCAGAGAGGCAAGGAAGGCAGGCAGTCAGAACACAGGGGGAAAGCCACACACCACGCCAAGACACAAAAGAGCAGAGAGCCAGGTCCTTGGCCTAGGCTGAAGAACCTGGTAGTCCCAATATTAAACAAGGATATAAAACAACGAAGACATTACCTGAAGTCTGGGATCCCGCTGGGGGTGCTAATCCCTGCACCGGCCATCACCACTACTCGACGACACTCCTTCTTCCGAATGAGCTCCGCCACATCCTGCAGGGTGAGCTTCTGCTTCCCACTGTCACCTCCCCAACTGCCCAGTCCCAAAACAGCACTGGCAGCAGCAGATCGAGAGAAGGGCCTGTTCCCTTGTACCCTGTTTGGAAGAGGGAAAGCACAGTAGGTTGCCTAGTGAGAGACTTCAGCTGAAAGAGCTGCTCAGTGGACCTGGGGTAGAACCACA